ACGASCGGATCTGTTGGAAGGAMTGGCACAATTCRGATMTGAGCAGGAGGTCCCAASGAGACCAAACACACACAGGGAACAGATAAAAAGAAGGGTCAATAGAGGATGGGGACAAGGTATACACAAGAGGGGTCATGGCGAACAGGAACGGATTATAAGCTCTTGATAACAGGTCGAAGATGAATGAGGCATGGGAAACGCCACTTCGGTCCAGAAAGAAGGGAAGACACAGCCAAACATCGGATGAGTATCCTAACCAAAGGAACAAGTCGACATTCTCCAGAAGGGGCAAGGTGAAGAGCTCCAATAGCTAAGGCTGCAAAATCACATGAGGACAACAGCCATTGGAAGGAAGGACACAACCGTTCGCGGCAAGGAGGCCGGAAAGTACGACTGAATATGAGGGGATAAAGATCAGAGATTCACTCGAAGAAAGGAGAAGTGAAACAAGACATGTAGGGAACGAGGGTTTAGGGTTTAAAGGAGGAGGTACCTAGTAGATGGCAAGATGGCAAGATAGCGTCTCCAAGATACAGTTTTGAGAAAGGAAGAGAAAGGGTTACAAGGATGATAACAAGGGCGTCCGGAGTAAAAGGATGAAGTTCTAGGCATACACCAGAGGGTTTAGGGTTTAGGGTTTAGGGGTTAGGGAGTATGAAAAGAACGACAAGAGCGACTAAAAGGGTCTGAGGACACCTCACACAGAGACTGGGAGAAGGCACGGGACAGTAGATTGAGCTCTTCCTAGCTTACATAGGAATATCTGGCAGACCCGAACGGTAGGTCTGAGAGGGAAGAGAGGGGTGTGGCAAGCTGGCAGTCAATCCTCCACCAAGGTGGAGCAATCAATGCTGTCCAGGGTTCCTTCGGCCGAACGGAAGGAAGCGTGATTGTATTGTACATTGACTTGCCGGTGGAATAGGAACCGGACTGACGCTCCCCAGAATAGAAGGAGCCAGGACGATAAGGCCCTGTTAATTAAAAAAAAAAAAAAAAAAAAAAAAGGGAAAAAAAAAAAAAGAAAAAAAAAAAAGAAGAAGATTGTCATGTACCAGGTACTTGCGTTCTATTCGTTGAAGACGGTAGCTGTTGACTGCCGAATGGCAGCTGCTGTGTTTTTGGATTTCACTTATGGCTTTCTTTGTTGTTGGTAACTTTGCATGGACCCCCTTTTTTCTTAGATTTGGGTGTTGTTTGCACTGACCTTTCTGCTTTATATTGTTATTTTTTTTGGTAAATAATTGTATTGTTTGGACTCACCCTTCTACGCTCGTTTGATCTTTTCTCGTAGGGTGTGATCGTTGCTTCAGGCATGCTCGTATGGTCCAAGGAACTGAAACAGCAAGAAGAGTTGCTCAAGCATACCGTTTCTGGCATGAAACTGCTTGGTGCATGCAGCCCAGTGAAAACTACACACTCTTGAATTGGAAAAATGGATCATGAGATAAATCAAAAGAGTGTACTCACGAGGAAGTGTGGTGGACTGTCCGGCCTCATCTACACCTACTATAATAACTGCTCAACGTCATATCGCACGGCCAGAATTGCAGGCCGGTAACCACCGCTGACGGCGCGGATCGCAGGCCGATCAGAAAGATATTTTCCGATCGGACTGCGATCTGGCCCGTTCGCAGTGGTGACCGGCCTGCGATTCGGGCCGTGCGATATCGGATTTCAGATTCTGCCGGTTGCTACCGCAAGGCCCGCCCGTTTTCTTTTTTCCGGCTGCCCACCCCTCCAATTGTCCGCCCGCCTGTCCGCCTGTTTTTCTAATCGTGGCCCACCCCGCCCACCCCTCCAATCGCCCGGTCGCCGGTTGGTACCGGAAGCGCCTAATCGACCAATCGTCCGCCGGCCCGTTTTGGTGTTGCCGGCGCACCCCTCCAATCGCCTGCCCGCCCGTTTTTGTGTTGCCGGCGCAACCCTCCAATCCCTGCCCGCCCGTTTTTGTGTTGCTGGCCACCCCTCCAATCACCCGCCCGCATTGTTGTTGCCGTGCGCTCTCTCTCTCTCTCTCTCTCTCTCTCTCTCTCTCTCTCTCTCTCTCTCTCTCTCTCTCGGACTGTCGCTCGACAGGGAACTTGGTGCTCTCCTTTGGTGCTCAACGGGTGGTGCTCATCGTCGATCTGTGCTTTTCGTGCTCGACGGGAACTTGGTGCTCTCCTTTCGTGCTCGACGGGAACTTGGTGCTCTCCTTTCGTGCTCGACGGGTGGTGCTCATCGTCGATCCGTGCTTTTCGTGCTCGACGGGAACTTGGTGCTCTCCTTTCGTGCTCGACGGGAACTTGGTGCTCTCCTTTGGTGCTCGACGGGTGGTGCTCATCGTCGATCCGTGCTTTTCGTGCTCGACGGGAACTTGGTGCTCTCCTTTCGTGCTCGACGGGTGGTGCTCATCGTCGATCCGTGCTTTTCGTGCTCGACGGAAACTTGGTGCTCATCGTGCTTTGTCTCTCTCTCTCTCTCTCTCTCTCTCTCTCTCTCTCTCTCTCTCTCTCTCTCTCTCTC